TTGTGATGCTGCGCGAGACAGTGCTTACGGATATTACCGGCGTAAAATCATTTATCTTAAAAGCGGATACAGCGCTTAGAATGCAGCTGCAAAGTAATATCAGAACACATGAGGCTCAAGAGTCAATCCAGCGAGGACAACTTTGACTGAGAGAATTAGGAACAACTTGGATGATTAAAGGCTTAGAGGAAGAGAAGACAGGGAAGACCAAATAAGTAAAATTGCACGTGATGCGGACTGCCTATTAAAGCAGCCCACACATCGTTATTACAGTATAAATGCAGTATAAATATAAAATTTCTTCTATGAAACACCACATCAGCATTAAAAATTAATTCAAAGTCATCACACTCTGACACTTCACTAGAACCCGGCATCGTTTCAGTTTCTGCCACTTCTCTATTTCGCGATCAAACACGCTAGAAAATTGCAGCTTCATCAGTCACACAAAACAAACCAGAGAGCCAATTTGGCTCTGCAGCGGAGGACCTCGGTGCTATTTCTAGGCACCGGCATGCACTCCACTAAGTGTGTCCCAACTTGACTGAGTTTGAACAACTTTACAAACAGTCTGCACGCGGATTGGACACGGACACAATAACGTGGAATTTTAGGGGATGTCAAAAAGTCTTCAGAAAGTAACACAAGGTGGCAACAAAGAAAAACAAATACACATGAGAGCATATTCAGTGACTGAATACATACCTGAAGTGCACAGTACGACTCAGTTCTTAGTGATGAAGAGGGAACAGAGGCGTTTCTCACCGTCCAGGTGTTAAACTCAATCCAGGATGACACTAGTCCACAATGCTGAGGGAATGACAGACTACCAGAAAATGTAACCAAAGTTCTTTTAAATGAAAGTGAACAAAAATCTATTTGAAAAAAAGAAGCTGAGAAGAAAGAGGTGAGTCAGAGATGATGTTCAAAGAGAGGCTAGGGCCACCGCAGAAGGATGGAAGTCTAGAATCAGCAGCCAGACTTCCCCTGATTATAAAGCTCACGGGGTGGGAGGGGTTAGGCACAACACAAAGGAGAGGGAAGCTGCTGCTAGTGCTACCTGATTGGCGACTTGGCCCCCTGGTTCTGTCTGCAGCCAATTAGCAGTGCTCAGAATCTAGGGGCAGAGCAGATCCCTCCTTAGCTTTGGCCCACATGAGGATGGTTTTGGGAGTGGGTTGGCACTGCCACATCCAGATGCTCATTATGGCTTATTAACCCCCCCACCCCCTTTACCCCTCACTGACTACCCCCCCAACCCTTCTCAAAAACTTTATCATCTCCCATCCACTTCTCCTTCTGTCTCTAACTGTATCTGTCTGCCACCTACCTGCAGCCTGATGGATGCAGTACCAGGATCCTCTCTGTCCTTCAACACGAAGACAAATATAACCTCTGTCTGTGTGCTGTTTTTTCCCTCGCTTTGGTTTCATTGGTGTGCTAATGTGCGCCCAGTACTTTCATAAAGTAGTGCTTGTTCTGTCCCATATGTTAGAGTATAAAAAAAAAAGAAAAAAAAAAAAATGCTGGTGTGTTTTCAGACTGCTTTCACATATTCTCACATCAGTGGTGGAAGCAGAAACGATTTCACATTCAACAAACCTGATATACGTCTGAATTCTTGTCATGTTTTACAGCAGGGGTGGGGGAGCTCCAGTCCTGCAGGTTTTAGATGTGTCCTTGATCCAACACAGCTGACTCAAAT